GGCCTAACACTTTCGGTAGATCATTTATGAAGGCGAGGAACAGACGGGGACCGAGTACGGACCCTTGTGGAACACCGCGGGTGGCTTTAATGGGTCCGGATACAGAATCAGAAACACGAACTGATATGGTTCGTCGATCGAGAAATGCTTTGATCCACTCAAATGCGAAATCTCGAACGCCATAATTGTTGAGCTTCTGCAGCAAAAATTTTGTGATTCACCCGATAAAATGCTTCCGCGAGGTCGAGATAAATCACATCCACCGCATCCCCTTCGTCGACTATACTGGTTCATTTATCTCGCACAAGAAGCAGGTTGGTGTATCAGGATCGCTTTTGCCTAAACCCGTGTTGAGCTGTCGAGAGAATGTTTTATCTTTCGATATGTTCCATCAGAGAATCGGCCACAATTGACTCCATGACTTTCGATAACACCGGAAGCAGGGTTACAGGTCTGTAGTTGGCGGGGTCACTACGACAGCCACCTTTGCATATGGGTGAAATGACTCCTTGTTTCCACGAATCAGGGAGTGTTGCTTGGTCGAACATTCGTTGAAACAGAATAGCTAGCGATCCGATACAAGTGCCATCGCTTGTAGATTTCACTCTGTCCTCAGTGTTTGGAATGGCCAGTTCACGTGGATTAAAAACCGTATGGATTTTGGACATCCAAAAAGGTTGGGATCAGTCTGCACCCATCTCCCTCACTCGTATGTAAAAAAATAGTCTGTTAAGTCATTTAATCTCCCCCGTGTTCCCTCAAACACAGGCACGATACATTCCTTCACACCGTCTCCCTTATCTACTGATCGCATTATCTGGATGAAAGGTTGTGAAATTGTGAAGTTTAGAAAGCGATTCGTGTGTAATCTGTAACGATATTTACAGTGTAGTTTTCTGGCGCGTTGTACCAGTTGAGATGCAACGATATCTGATTTTGCATAAATCATGCAATCTAGCTTTGTTGTGCTCTATCTTCAAGATTCTTGATTTGTTATTGCCCTTTATCCATATATACAAATATGATTTCGTAACGGGTTGAATGAATCGCCTAAAACTGGCTTGCTTGTTCAATCGATTTCAAACTGTTTGAATATTAAGATGTGCAACACTAAGTTCGCTATATCGTGTTTAGAAGAAACGTAAACGGTCCGATCCGTTGCTCGGTAGTCCGGTCGGTTGTGTACCCACGTCCTCTTTCTCTCGCTTGCTCTCCATAAAGTCCCAGTTCTACGATCCTCCGTTTTTTGTGCCGATGAATTCGTGATATTCCACTCCCGCGGCGTCTAACACCTATCTGAAGAGGCTTTTTGGAACGGGATTGCTTCTACACACACTAAATATATATATCTATATGACCAGTCCAATTCATTAATAGATTTTTGTGTGCGGATTTTAAACCATCGCAACTGTCATTCGTATCATTCTGGTGACCTCAACGATCAAGCATCTGAAGAGGCAGTGCATACCACATTCCATGCACCCCGGTCGCCAAATGTCAATCATCAAGTAGTGCACTTATCGTCTCGGATGCTTACCAGTCATAAGTAGACTTACGCAAAGTTGATTGGGACTATCCGACTGTGTTTTGTCACCTACCCACTAGAATCGAGCGATGGGATTATCATGTCTAAACAGCTAAGTGAATGACTCAAGCGATAGCTGTTGCATTGCTTTCAGTGGTTGATAGGCAATCCAGAAATTTTAAGGAGCATTTGATAGGAGCAGTAGTACCTCTGAGTTAATAAACTGTCATGTTTCTTCCACCTTTTCGGTCTAATCTGTGACTCTACGCGCTTAAGGCATTCATTAGTGACCATATCCCGGAAAATTGCTCTTCACATGAGCCTAACAAGGTTCCGGGTACCTGGGGCTTAAAAACTCTGAGACGTGGTGTAAAGCTCCCCTAAGCAGCAGTTGACGAGACCCACTACGTTGTCTAACGGTTGTGGTGTAAATCGCTCGAACCACGAGGGGTAAATGTAGCCCCTAGACGGAATTCACCGCAGTCGAATGGTGAGTGAGCCAACGACAAACATGCACCAACTCACTGCTTTCCTTCAGACTAAAGATACGCTCTTGAAATGGGAAAGCCGAGTGACGCTGGGACATCTGTTATGCCAAACTCTCACAAAGCTTCGTATTCATTGATGTGATGCAAGCCCTCTTCTCGCCGGAGAAACTAACCTCAATACATCAAAGTAAAGTAATTAAGCAAGCATGTTGACTGAATGCCCAAAATCGCTTCATCAAAAATCGTTCTGATGCCTGGACATTTAGAAAGGCTTCAGCGATATTAATGGGAACAGTTTTGATGTAGGATGGACTTGTCGGGACTGGTCATTACTGTTTTCGCCGTCTCATATCGAATGATAACAGTCTCCAGTTGGATGGGAAAGACGTTGGTTACTTTAGAGTTCGCCTGGATTGATACAAATTTCATGTTTCCTTTAAATTTGTTTTCTTCGTATTGACCATTTTGTGCATTGAAATCAAATATTTTTGTCTTTCAGAACCATTTTGGCACGATGGAGAGCGGTCATTGTAAGTTTGATGTAATTTCGATTGATTTTTCATTAAAAGATTGTGGAATATTAATTAATTAGTTCTCCAACCCAATTCCAACTGATCGTTAGACGCACACCACAAACTTTATGTGGTCAGAACAGAGAGAAAACAAATACTGCGAGATGTCAGCATTTCTTTTAATCTCCTCAACCACTACAACGTAACGCAATCTGGTGTTTATACAAGCAAGTTCCAGTTGCCGTGACACTTAGATCGGCAGAACGAATCGGCCCTTGTCACAACGGATGTCTGAACACATTCCCAAGTGATTGGTACAATCAGTAACTCAACACAATCTAATGAGAGAAATCCAGGGTCATCGATCGCAAAACATCTTATGACAACTGGACTGATCGTTGACTCGCATTTGTCGTTCAAGTCGTTATTACGTAACACAAATCCCAGGATCTTGACGTTTAATGAGACGATGCTAATCTATGGTAACATAATCCAATCTTGTGTGCCCAAATGTTTCGGATACAGTCAACCAGACTGCCGTGGAAATTTAATTTCCCCTCCTCGCGTGACCCTGACTATTTCCCTTGGGAACCACTGTAGTTATCAAAACTTGCTTTGTATGAATACCAGATTCTTGTACGTTGTAGCGACTGAGAAGGTT